TCAACTTTGGTTGACCTTCCCCAGGTACGTGTTGTGTGGCAGCATTTGGGGTTGTCTCCTTCCTGTAGAGGCTGGGGATTTACCTTGCAGGCGTATAATTCCCTTTCTATTGCTCCATATGGAGTTGCTGTTATTACATTGTTAGAGCAGCTGCAGAAGGGATTCTTGGTCTTCCTAAGCTGTGTCTTTTTTACTAATGCAAGAGTCTGTGCAGATTTCAGCCACAGCACCACATCTTCTGATAGCCCTGGAAGTGGCTGGAGCTCTGCTTGCAGATGTGCTGCCATAGGGCTGCATCCCAAGTGCTGGTGTTCCCAATCCTTAGTATGAACATGAGGAGACCTGGCATAGTGTTTTAAATAATGGCACTAATTGCTTTTAAAAAACTATCTTAGATAGGAGTAAGTGAAACCAGGAAGACTTTATTGTGCAAACCTTTCCCTATCCCAGCTGTTGTCTTTAAAGTCACTGATTATTTGCATGAGTCAAGATTGTTGTAAAGTGTTTTACTACTTCTCTGCATTGTCTCTGTTTATCATTAACCTTCCATACAACATGATAACCTTGGTTTCCTTCAGTCTGATGACTAGATAGTTTTCTTTACCTTTTTTTCATAGGCCCTTGTCCTGAAAAGGTACGTGCATGTCTGACTGCAGACTTCACGTTTAAGTTCTTACATGTGGATTTCCAAAGCTAGAAAATCAAAAACCTAAATTTTGGTACTTACTTTTAAATTCTATGCTTAAGAAATAAGGAGTTATTTCCCCACAAAATATTGCATATACCCAACTGTTACACCAGTGCTCAGATACAGTGGGTCTAAATGCCACTTGGATCTGCACTCGGAGTGAATTCCCTGTGCCTTGCCTAGGGTTTTGTGTTGGGTAAACACTTCTTACATCCAGACCCATCCAGAAGGAAGCACCAAGCACAGGATGGGACTGAGGCCAGCTCAGTCTGGTGTCTGGAAAGCTGCTCCTGTGTCTTGCAGTTGCTTCTCTCAATATGTTGAGGTGAAGAGATCCTTAGGGGGCTTTCTCCTGGGGGTCTGCTGTGTTGCTCACATCCATTTTGAATGGGATGGTATTCCACATGGCACACAAGTACTCGTGTGCCTTGTTGAGGGTACGAGGGATAGATGAAGCAGAGAAACTTGCAGATAAGCTGCATTGCTAAGGCTAACAAAGGATTTTGCTTCCAACCCATGTTATTCTTCTACCACATCTGAACAGATTGAAGCCTCAGCACCTCCAGTTGTTCCTGGTTTTAACCTGTGCTGTTCTAATGCCTGGCCAGCCTTGTAGATACTTGAATATCCAGATATATTTCTTGTGGTGAAAGGTATTTTTTGGAAGTTATTTATTTTGGTATTTAAGTACAGTATATATTTGTACTGAAAAACTGTTCCCTTTTTGAATCTGAGCCCAGGTGACTCGGATCCAGCTGAGTCCCCTTTTCTGATGGAAAGATGGAGAAGAGATTTTGGTCATTTGAAGCAGGCTTTCACATTGTGCATTCCTGGGATGCTTTTCTTAGTTGTGGGAACAGACAGAACCATTCATCTCGGTATGAAAAGATTGCAGGAAGAATCTAGCAGAGATCCAGCAAAATCCTTGTAATCTGTGTCATCTTGGAAGAGGAAGAAGACAAAAATAAGCAGAACTGATGGCCCCACTATCCACAAGGGCAGATGGGGTATTTTTTATGCTGTGTCTGGAGAAAGCCACATTTCCATGAAGTTATGCAGGGGGTCAAAGCTTACAGCTTATGCAGGTAATACAGGGAGTAGGAAAGAAAATGGCTCGTGTGGTTTTTATGCCACTTGTGGCATCGTATTTGTCTGTATCATGCATCTACTGCTGGAAGCAGGTTTTTGAGAAAGGCTTTGTCTGTCAACAGAGGCTGTTGGGATACTGAGGCCACAGTACAGGAGCTCAGGCCAAGTTATCTCTAATGGAGATACTGGCCTATGTCCCAGGCCAAGGCTGTTTCTGCAGCACAAAAGCTGCATCACTTGGTTGGGAGCTGATGTGTGACTTGGATGGCTCTGGGTGAAGATGACCTAATGGTGTAATTCAGAAGAGCTCTGTGCTCGGCATTTAGAGCTTCCTAAAACTCAGCTCATGTGTTTATGTTGAAGTGGGGGAGAAATTAGTGACAGGGAAGGAGTGTCTGTCCCTAGCAGCAGGCAAAGGCTTCTTTAAAAGTGTCCCAGACATCAGTCGCATCAATGCATTTCTAACCAGCTGGATTTATAGTAAGAATTCCTACGTGCATCCTCATCTCCCTGTGTTGATAGTGAGGGTGCAGGTACATGCTAAAGCAGTTGTCCATGTTTCCTGGCTGCAGCTTGTGGAGATGAGAATGACACTTCAGACAACCCCTCAGACTCCCCTGTGAACCAACGTGCAGTGAGTGGTGTGGGGCTGAGGGCATCTGGCTGTCATGGAAGGTAGCATTTGAGTAGTTTTTGGCTCTGTGTGGCATGGACACCCCAGTGACTGTGGCCATGAACCAGCCATGGTGATTGTATTTCAGGATAAAAACAGCTATCTGCTCAGAGGGTAGTGTAATTAGCAGCCTGTGGAGTTCATTTGGGCTTCAGTATTAGGATGTTGAAAGCTAATGTGTTTGCATAAAGATTTATGATAGAAACCTCTCTGCAGTGGGAGTGCACTTCCTCTTGTTTCTCTGCCTGTGTAAAAATAAAATCCAGGCATCCTGAGAAGGAGCAGAATATCACAATATCCTGTGACCTGTGGGGACAGCTGATCCTCAGGGATAATGAGTAGTGGAGGGAGAATGAACTGAAGTTCCCTGGCTCTTCACAGAGGAACAAACTAAATTCACTGTCCCTAAAGCGTATGTGGTTCTGGCTGCAAAGATGGAGATCCAGAGAATCCCTCTGACAGAGGCCTGACAAACTGTAATATGTTTTTATTCATCTGGCACTCTTTCCCTGCTCAGATTCTTCTGTTTTATCCTTCCCCTGTGTCCTTTTATCCTTTGCTCATCCAGAATCCTGGCAGTGGATTCAGCCAGCATCCCCAGCTTGCTTAATCACAAGTACAGCATCAAACCTTGTAACCAAAAGGTAGGGCTGGGTGAGGAGAAGTGCAAACCTAGGAGTAAAGGCATATTGTGAAGAAGCAAACCTTCAGGTTGAAAGCGATGGAGATGGGGCGAGATCTCTTGATAGAGCACATCAGCTGCCAGCAGAAGCGCTAGAAATCAAATTGCTGTGTACAATCAAAGCTAGCCCCAGGCAAAACGTGTCATATGAGATGGAGTGGGTGGGAGGGAGATGTCTGATGGCTTGACAGATAGGAGGAATATTGATACACTGATCAATGTTTCTCACCTCCAGAGTCTGTTACTTGTCTCCCTATTTTATGCTAAATAGAGCTGGGATCTGCAGCCTCCTGTCCAACTCTGTGACAGCATCTCGCTTTTGCAGTCTCTAGTGCAGGAAGGCAGTTTTCTTAACGCAAACTGCTTGATCTTGTTCCTGCTGCTGGTGATGTGATCTGAGCTTCCCACTTCTCACCAACAGCCTTGACTTCTGTGTAAGTTAAAATACTCCCATTTGGTGCTGTCTGCAGGTGTCTGAAGTCACCTGAGGTGTTGAACACGCTTTGGGGGGAACATGGGGATGAGTGGGGCTTGATCCCTTGGGTTTTCACTTGGGCTGTCTTTGCTGATCCCTCCTTTCTGTGTTTGTCTAAGCTGGTGTGGGACGACTGACTGTAACTGCTGGACCACTCTTTGGTGTCTCAGATATTTGTGAGCCCTCAGCCATAGAGTTTTGGAATTCTTCTTGTGGTTTTTTTGTCCTCCGTGTCTGCTCGCAGATTTCCCTGGAGCTCTGCCAGCCCTCCCCTTGCTCTGACCCAGCCTGTGTTGAAATCCTTACTCATGCCTTAATCACTTCCTGTCCCCACTATTGCAATTCCCTCCTCCTGCCATCTGTAAATCTCTGCTACATTAATTCTCAGGAGTGCTGCCTCCTTCCTCAGCCCAGGCAGCAGGTCTGGGTGTCCCCCAGCTTCTGACTGCTCCTTGGCTTGCTCTCCTTGCAGTTCCTTTTACCGTGGGGTTGGCATTCTCTGGCTTACTGTGCTGCCACCTTCTTCCCTCCTCATCCCAGCCTGCTCAGCCAGCCTGAGCTTCCTTTTGGCTGATCGTCTCAATGTGTTATTGTTTTTTCTTTATCCATTAGGAATGGGATTTTTTTTTTTTTTTTTAAGCAAAATAGTCATTTCCTTTATTTTTCTTTTCTTGTCATAGAACTTTTTGCTTGAGGAGTTGTGTGCTTGTTCATGCAACATCCTTGCAAGGAATTTGGAGGTTTTATTCCACTTGCCTACCAGGAAGGGAATGGCATAGGGAAGGGTTATGTGACTTCACTGAATAACTGATAGAGTCATGCTCGGGTTCCACAAAGTGATTTTTTTTTTCAGTCTTACTGGAAATCCATGGGGTCAGATGCCCTTTTTCTATAACAAGGTTTTGGATTTGTCCTTAAAGAAAAGAGCTGAAAGCCCCATCTTAGACACTGGCCTCTCCTTCCTCCTTCTGTCAGTTTGGAGAGGCTGCCCCAGAGTCTTGTGAAAACGGGGGATTTGTAGCAAAGGTTCAAGCTGGGGTTGTTAGTGCGCCCTTGGGAAGGGCTCTGACAGCAGAACTAGGTCTTGGTTGATGCATGAACTGAGATTTTAGAACTTAAAACTAGTCAATAAATCCCAAACTGAATTTAAATTGTTGATGGGGACTCTGGGAGGTTTCAGCATTGTCCAGGGCTCCAGGATTAAAGTGAGACTGGGAGATTGAGGAATGTAACATTAGGATGGGAGATGGAAATGATCACCCTTGCTTTACAGGAGAAGAAATGGAAGATCTTGACTCTGCTGTGGCTATGAGGAGTGTGCTGGGTACTGCTTTATGGGATCCTGTTTGGTGCTCTCCCACCTATTGTCTATCTGGTTTGTGTCCTCTCCCAGGTCTGTAACAATGGAAGAAGAGGTCCGTCATCGAGAAGCCTGAATTGTGATACCAGGAAAGCCCTTTGAGACACTGACAATAAGAGCCTGAGATACAGGAGACAGCAAACATGCTGAAGCCAAGTGGACTTAAAATCCCAGGCAGAGCTGGGAAGCACTCCAGCCCAGTGGGACGGGCATCAGGGACCACTACAGCTGCTGTCACCACTGGCTCAAAAGAAGGTAAGGACTTGATGTGGTAGGGGCATGAGCTGACCCAGGTGATTAAAAGCAAAGGGCTAGTGGTGCCAGTGTTCAGTAGGATGTGAAATTCCCAGCTGTACATAGATTGATCATGAGCATGGATCAAAACAAGTGGAATGGGGTGAGTAAATGGTCTCTCTTTCCTCAGGAATGCACAAAACAGGTTGTAGAGGGGGTGGGAGACAGATGCATCCTCTGGTGTTCAGGGCTGATAAAGAATTGCTGCCTCCTGCCTTGCTTGTTTGTGTATGTGTACCTGTACAGATACTAACATGTGAAGAGCTGGTAATACTTAGGCAGATGAGAAACTCACCGAGGACCTTATTAAACACTTATTAAATATGAGGAGCTTATTCACCAATGTGAAGGGCTGGTAATACTTAGGCAGATGAGAAACTCACCAGGGACCTTATTAAACATTGTCCTGTAGCCATGGCTTTTGGCCTGTGATAATGCAGGAGTAAGCACGAGGCGTGTAAGGTGGTTTGTCCTATGCCAATTCCCTAAAATTAGTGCCTTTGTTTGCACAGAATCATCAGAAGCACTGGGATTTGACTCATGACTTTCCTAGACATACATACCCAGGCTTTCCTGTCTGATGATCCATATCCAGTTTATATGTAACCTATACAGACTGCTGTTACACAGTATAATTAACACTTTGAAAGCATTTGAGGAGTGTTTTGCTTAGGAATCATTTTTCTGGCTTCTTTAATTGCTAGGTGCTTTGTATCAGATATAATTCAGCAAATGTTCAAGGTGCAGGTTTTGTATGTAATGCTTTTTGTCTTTCTTTGTTATAAAAGGCTTTCCCTTAGCTTCTGGGGAAAAGAATCAGGATGATGTATATCCTGTCAATCAGTTGTACATCCAATATGTTACACTTTCCGTCTGAGAATGTCACTGGCTGCTGCTTGAGATCTGTCAGCCTCTTGTCCCATAATAATTCAGGCTGTTGCCCCCATGCCTGATTTCTTCACTGTATGTTTCAGTTCCAAAAGTGTACATTGTTTGGCAGAAGCAGTAAAGCTTCGTACCTGTTGGACAGTGTAGGGGGTAATAGTGGGCAAAACTAGCTTTAGCATGCTACGACCAATTATCATCTGTGATAATGATACTGCAGAAATGAGGGTCAGCAGGCAATGCTCCGTCTTGTCAGAGGAATGTAGAAGTGTTAGTTATTGAAACAAACCGAAAAGCCATTTCTGAAGTTTCTCTTATGCTTGCCCCATGAACACCCTCCATTGAGAGGGTGGTTTGAGCACAACCCCTGCACAGGAGTTCCATGCAAAGTCTCTGCTCTCTGCTGAGCAACCCTGGCTCTGCTGTTATTACACATCAGGTCTCTGCTTTGCTCATGGATGTCTTCAGCTGAGCTTTCCCTTCTTTCAATCACTGATGGTGTATGTGTCATCTCTCCCACTTAGTAAATTCTTTCCTTGAATAGTATTTAAACCCCAGTTTTAACTTGGTTTTTTGCACATGTGCGGGGTCTTGTTTGAGGGCCCAGTCACTGCTTGAGGTCAAGGGCTGAGTTCCAGATGCTGTGCTGTAATACAGCTCTGTAGGGAGTGAAGCAGCACTGCTTTTCCTTGGCTGAAGGCTTGGCCCTGGATGTAGAGATAAACGTTTGAATTTCACTTTTCTGTGTTTGAGTGGGTTTTAGTATTAGACTGATTCCTTAATTTAGTATCCACATCGAAGATACTGAAGTCTCCTTGTATCTGTTTGCTAGAGGGAAGCATGAATTGACAAAGGAAATTCTTAGGATAAAGTTTATAGGTTGGGCTGTTTAATTTGAAGTTCTTCCCCACACCCATTTCTGTATTTCCCTCTTGTTTCTGCCAGCACCTCACTGGGGTTGAGAAACAAACCCAAAGGCCTCCAGTGACATGACTGTTTAGCTGCCAGTTGTGAATCTCTCGATGCTGGATTTAGACTCGCACTGTGGCGTGGAGTTGTTCTCTGGTGATTTTTATCACTTCAACAACAAAATGAGGGACAAGACCTGACAAGGCCTGTCTTCCCCGTGGGTGCTTTGCGCTGAGGTGTCTCAGCAAACACAGTCACTATGTGTGTTGTGGTATGAAAGAGTCAGTCAGCACTGGGGTCTGATGCAGCCTTCCAGCTGAATGCAGCACTTGTGTGCTGGAGCTTCTTTGTGCCTTGTTCAGCTATAGCCATCTGTCACTGTGATAGATACGCAGTAAAGCGTGGGCAGGATCTGCACCAAAATGGGTTTGATCTTTCCAGGACTAAAACTAATTTTTGAACTTCTCAGGCAAAAAAGCGTGTAAGGAGAAGGGGAGAAGTCTTGGGAAAGTTGGTGCTGTACAGCTATGCTACTGCTCTTCTGCCTCTCAGGACAGTGCAGGGAGCTTTCCACAGGCACAAGGCTGCCATAGCAATCATAGCACTGAGCAATTCCTGCCTGGAAGGTGAGAGCAGGGCACAATTACAAAACAGAGCTGTTTACTGGGCCTGTGCTAGGTGGATAGTTGTGGTAGGGCTTGTGGCATCATCTTTAATGTCATCCCTACCATCATCATCTTGCTCTGTGTCCTGTATAAGAGCTACCACTGTGCCTATTCATGGCCTGTACCTGCTCTTCCTCCTGCAAATCTCTCCAAAGGCCTGGCCAGCCTTTTGCTGCCTCCTGTTCCTCTAAGTGGTGAGCAAAGTCTGCATCCCCAAATCCTGTTCACTTGCCTATGGGCCCCTCTGTGAGAGCTGCAGTGTGTGTGCTGGCTGTGGGGCTGAGCAGCAGCACAGGCAATCATGAGATTCAGCCTCTGGCAGGGAAAAACTCCAAGAGAAAATATTCTTTTTTTCTAAAGTGGTTTAGTTCTATTTTAGAGCCAAGTGTCCACATCACTAAAATCCTGACCACAGCAGGCACTGACGTCAACTCTGAGGATGCCTGCAGCCAAAGAATCTGGTGGTAGATGGCTGTAGAGGCTGGATTTCATTACCTTTCCTGGGATTAATTAGGCCTGGGCCATAGGAGGGTGATGGAGCTTTACCCCATCCTCACTTTTCTGTCTTGCTAAAGGATCACTCATCCTCTGGCCTCTAAATGGATCACTGGTGTTAATTCATGGCAGTACTGATAACCCAGCTTTACCAAGAGAGGTAAGTGCATGGCAGCCTGAGGGCTGTTAGAGCTGGTAGTACACAGTGAGCACTGAGTGCTCTCCTCAGTGTCACAGCACTGGCTCCTTTCTAAGATACAGAGGGACAGTGGCAGAGATGGAGAGGCTACAAACAATTGTTCTTTTGTGTATTTAATTCAAACACTGCAAAGGGCTTTTTCTGCTTTTCTTTCTTCTTCTGTCACTATCCAGGAAAGTGCCTTAATGTGATGTGTTTGGTGTCTGGTGAGATGGAAAGATCCTCTAAAGATACCAAGCTTAACATCAGGTCTTAAAAACCTGGGTGAAGGAGGTTGTGTGCAAGGCATTTGAGAAGCCCTGCAGAAACAATGAGCTCTGCTCTGTGCTGTCTTTGAATGTTTGCATGAGCTCTGTCAACTGTGTCTGTGCACTGAGGATGCTTCCTGGGACACTGTCAGGGTTCGCCCTGGGGCATCTGAGTGCACTGATGTTTCTGAACTTGTGTGTTGCTTCCATACTTTCTACTGGCATTTCTGGCTTCTCTGGGTTTTTTTAGGTGTTTGCTGAACTACCTGAGCCTTGCAGCTCAATGGGAAAAAAAAACCCAATGTGGTTTGGATTATAAAATACAGAGCTGCAACATTGATCTCTCTGAATTTGCTACCCTGGGGGAAGACAAGAATCTCAAAAGCTTGAAATATAGATGCAGAAGAACCATAAATATAATCAAGTGCAGAGTTAAACTGGAACAATGTACAGCCTGTTGGCTCTGAGCTGTCTCTTGGCTCTGATAGTCTGGGGCTGCCTGAGAAAGACCCCACATTGAGGTTGTTTTCCAGATTGGGTGTCAAAAGAAGGTGCTTGTTCTGCAGTCGTACCTGAGAGTTGTCAGAGAGCCATTAGCTACAAATCAGTTTTGAAAAGCTTCATGCTTTCTTCCTCTGACTTTCCATATGCTGAACAGTCTTGCCTGCAGAAGTGCAAGTAGACGTATTTTCCTTTATTCTTAGTCTGGAATACGCAGGATGCTTTGGTTTCTCCTTTCTCTTTTCCCCAGCACTCTGTTCATATTCATTTATAGAAGGTCAATTGTCTTTCATCCAACTCTTATCTCTCTTGCATTCCCAGCCATGGAAATGTACCCTGTTAAACTTGACCACATAGTCTTTACAACTGACATCTTCTGAAACGGCACAGAGGACTGATGCAAATGGGAGATGCTGTGTGCTCATGCATATTTAATCTCATAAGTCATGGCTGTAGGTTTCTACAGAGACCATACATGATGTATTCACAGTATGTGAGGCAAGCTGGCTCAATATATCAGAGTTATTTTTCCTGAGAACTTACTTGGAGCCCCTGTTTCCTACCAGCTCATGGGATGTCCTCTTTGAACTTCCCTGGAGTGGAGTTACTGTGGTTCCTACCTGAGCTGGCCCTTTCAGAGACCCAGGAGGTGTAAGGGCTTTCAGTGGTGGCGTTCTGGGCTAGGTACATTGGCTTTGTGTGAGTGGGAACTTTTTGTTTTGTGAAGGAGATATGAAATGGTCATTCACACTGGAAGTCAGTGAGGGACTATTACTTGACATGGATTCTTGGACAACATTAGGCTTGATGAGTGGTGTCCACACCAACTATCCCCTTCCTTTCTCTCCCATAGAGCTGGAACAATGGAAAAAGTAAGTTCTGCTGCTTTGTGGTAACTTTTTTCCATAAAACCAGACTAAAAATTCATCTCTAGCTCTCTCAGGAGAGGATTTCCCACAAAAGCGTTGGCTTATTTCCCATGCTTCAAGTGAAGACAGTTACTACTCCCAATCCCATATGCAAGAGAGGTTTCTGTGCTAAAGGTGTGGCTCATTGGTA